AAAGGGTCTCCCTTTTATACTCCTTGGGTCGCCTTCCTTTTTCACGCTCTACCTTCTATTTACAGGATTTATTTACAGTGTATTTTTCTCAAACTGAATAAAAATGAAATTTTCATGCTATAGTTCTACTGCGCTTTTGCTGCGCTGAACTGCAGTTCTACTGCGGTCAGACTGCGCCTAGAATCCTTATTGTCCTCCCTCACCTAAGCTATTTTAATGGTTAATTGGAACTTGGCTGCGCTGCATTTGCTGCAGTTACCTATTTCAAATTCCCTATATATACTGTTAAATTTGCTATGACTCGATGATTCTGAATTCAAACTTCGCATTACTATGCGTACGGCTATGCTGAGACCTTCAGCTGATTTATTCCATTTTTATTTGGTGACATTTAGTTAAAATGAGACTGAAATGGTAAATGAGTGAATTATTCAGGTTTAAAACTGAATGAAAAAGTTGCTAGTAATCAAGAATTACTCAAACGAATGTGTTATAGCTCTCCTCCTCATTAGAATATCGTTCCCTAAAATTCCCGCCATGGTCCGTCGTAGTTTAGTGGTTTTCGTGAATTTCGTTCATATTCCCTGATTCCCTTTTGTATTATCACATCCTAATCCTCCATATGTATTGTTCGTTGTTATAGTAGGTCGTCCTTGAAGATTTCATATTTTTATGTATTTTATTTAGGACTCTGGACCTCTTGAAGCTGTTTTCCCGCGCGTTTTCAGGTTTCTAACTTCATGTCCCTATATCTCATTCATTTCTGGATGTTTTCTCACGTTCTTGGTATCATAAATTTTCATTTATTCCCACCTTTCCAATGGTACCAAGGTTGTGTCCTATTTCCTGGTATTCGTTGAGTTAGCAAAAGTTCGCGCGCACATTCGGTAATCACGTGCGTCATTCCCATAGTCGTTCGTATGCGGGCGCCGTTTCCGTTTAATTGTTCGGGATTTATGATATGCGTGGGTGTTTATTTCTTTCATATGGGCTTCTGTGATTTATTTCAGATTTTTCCCTCATGATTTAAGGTTGTTTTGCACTTTCCGTGCTTTGTTTTGACCGGGCTCTTCCTTATTTGGACGGAAATTGGTCTTCGCGATCTGCCGAAGTGCGGATCTCGGTTCCGACGGCCGGTTCCCTGCGCATCGCCACCCTCACGTGTCATTACACATGATGCAGATTTCTATATTCCCGTCATGGGTATAACTTCACAACGGCTGGACTGTTTGGGCTGAAAATTTGCATAACTATAGTTCCCCATTTTTAATAATTTCCGTGTAAATTTCGTTGTATGTTGTAACTATGGATCCTACGCAAACATCGTCTTTTCCCTAAGCTCGGACTTTCGATGTCACTATTCCCGTTATTGGATATCTCATTAACGCATGATCCTTTTATTATGAAAATTTGGGAGGATTAAGATTGGATCCCTTCCTTTCTAATGGACTATCAAGCTTGTCTCGGTCGTTACTGGTTAATCTTCGTGCTTCCCTTTTAGGCATTGTCCTCGTTTTGCAGGAGTTTTAGTCATATCTCCATCGTTTATAGGTAGTTTCCCCTGTAATTACTCTCATTGGTTCCGTTTGGAGGACATCTACATTTCCTATTGTAAACACGACTCTGACCTTTGCATTAGTTCCTGAGGAATCTTCGTTCCGTGGTACTTCCATCCTTGGCTACGTGTTCGGACGTGGGAAAGTAGTTTCTGTGGAGGTTCTCTGATTATTTTTATAGTCAAATCTTGGTCGATTGTCCTAATTCTTGGTTTAATATTTGCTATAAATTCCCCCGAGAATTCCGTCTCGTTGATAGTAAGCTTGAAGTATTTTTGCTATTTTTCTTTCTTTCGATTTATCATGTATAGTCATAATAATTCGTAAAAATTCGTAAAATTCGTTAAAATTCGTAAAATTCGTTAAAATTCAGGTCCTTCTATTTTCTCATATCTACTTGTCGTATGAGGTTTTTGTGATTTATCTGGCATATTTCCATAATGGGTTTCCATAGTGTGGCCGTTATTTCTCCTACAACACGCACAGCCGTGTCTGCCTGGGCATCTCCATAAGAGGTCTCAGGGGCATCCAGTGTGTAGGGCATCACCCGGTGTGTCCGGGTCCGGGCATGTTGCGCAGTCTGGTTAATGGTACATCGAGCAAGGAAGTCGTCCGTGTAATAGAAAAGGAAAGAAGGAGAAAGAAAGGAAAGAAGAAGAAAGAAGAAGGGGAAGGAAGAGGGAGAGAAGGGAGGAGGGAGGATGGGGCAGCGGGTGAGGGTAGTGGAATCGGGTGGGGTCGGACCGGATGGAGTGGGGTCAGGCAGGTGTGCCCTGACAAATCGGTGTAATCGGGGTAGTGGAGTCAACAGGCGGAATAGGTTCCGGATGCGACAGAGGGGTGTGCATGGAGGCAGCACTGGTATGTTTGGAGGTTCAGAATGAGATACTGCTCTTTACCCAGTCAATCAATGGATTGTGGTGGGTGAGCCAGTTGTGTCCTAGAACCATGGAACATGTACCATCCAGCGAGGTGACATAGAAAGTTGTCTGGGTGATGTTACCGGAAGCAAAATGGAGTTTTATGTCCACTGCTTTAGTGATGATGGAATTTGTGGTCCCATCAAACAAGTGGAGAGACAAAGGTGAAACTGGATAGGTCGACAGGTTGTTTTTAATCACAAACTTTTCGTCAATGAAACAATCCGACGATCCTGAATCAATGAGAGCTTGGTATTGCTCATCAGGGGTGTTTTTATTCATAGGAGGGACAGAAGTAACAGACAAAGGAGAAAGAGGAAGTGAGGACAAAGGATTCGGACCAACAGATGATGAAGGAGGTAGACCATTTGGAGAAAACAGTTTTCCTGGATCAACAACAGATGGGAGAGACAGAGGAGGAGAGAGTAGTGTCAGGGCACACCATGCCTGACCCTGCGCCACCCTGCCCTACTCTGCTTCCCCCACTATCACTCCTTGTTCCTCCTCTCCCTTTTCTTCTTTCTCTCTATTTCTATTCCACAGTCGACTTCCCTTTTTTCTATGTATCATTACACACCTAATGCCGCTCCCCTGATTGCCACACCTGCTGTGCGCATTCCCGCCTACGGAGTGGCACACCTCCGGGGTCTCCCACAGAGACACCCGGAGAGGTCCAGCTGTGTGTGGAGATGATGTGGCTCCCCCACATGACCCTAACTGCATGTATATGATAGCACCTGGGGTGGGAACAGAAGAAGCAGCCTTCTTCTCAACTTCCCACTTCAGACTAAGTGGTCGGGGATGCTCACCCCATGACAGGACTGCTGCTACACATAGCTGACACCTGTCCCATCGAGTCCCTTGCACCGGGAGCTTGCCGCTTTCAGAGCTGTCCCTGACAGCAACCACAGCGGAAGTGGAGGCAGAGGGAGTAGAGGAAGGACGGAAGGAAGTACTTGCTGATTGAGACACAGCAGACTTGTCAAAGGTAGTGGTGGAGGAGGGCGGAGGTCTAACATGTCGTCCAGCTTCAGCCTTATGCTTCCAATATCGCATGTCAAACATCTGCATGAGTTTTCGGAGGGCAGAAAGTGAAGTAGGTTTGGTGACATGCAAGAAATCATCCTTGAGACGCTCTGGCAGTCCATTGTAAAAGAACTGACAAAGTGCAGGCTCACCATAACCATGCAACTGTGTAGCATATCGATTGAACTTGACAATGTACTTGTTTATGTGATGTCCATCTTTCATACTCAACTGGATGATCTTGTCACCCATTGCATCATGGGGGCCAAAGTTCTCCTTGAGCTCTAAGACAAACTCCTGAAAGTTATCCATCCACAAAGGTCGAGTGCCCTCAGGCAGCCCTTCCAGAAGGTCCGGTTTGAAACGATCAAGGGCCATCCCTGTCAAGAATGACTGCACATAAATAATTTTTGAGTGGTCACTCATGAAGGCCAGGGGGTGGTCCTGAAAGTTCAGTTCACACTGGACCAAGAAGGTGCGGAGCTTGCAGGGATCAACCCCATTAAACTGGTTGGGTTCTCGGACCTTGGTTCTAAGGGAGGTGGATGGAGCGGGAGGTTGTACGGGAGCAGGGATCGGAGTGGGATGAGCAGTGGAGTGAGCAAGATAGGTGATTGCTTGTGCTAACTGGGCAAGTACCGGAACAGGAACTTGCTCAACTTTGTTGTTGCAAGCAGGCTAGAGATCTAACCCCCTAAATGCAAGCAAATTCGTGGGGAGGGAGTCTGGGATGTCTTAAGCTCATCCTAGGTTCGGTCTGGGTGCTAACAAAACAAAAATAATCACAAAAACTCGTTAAGAATTACATACCCCTGGTCCATCTTGGACAATCATCAGGGATTCCTTATAATACTCAAGGAGTGTCAGGGTCATGCATGCTCACAACAAAGGATGCCCCAGAAACCTAATTGATATCAAAGCTGGGGGGACATGCCCATGCCAGCACATGGTCATATATACACGGTAGAGGTGGTAACTAGTCAACTAGCTAATAACCGGTAGTATTGGATCAAGAAAGATAGAAGATCATGTGGCATCATAACCAACAGCCGCAGATTGGATCAGATCGGAGATGAAGAAGAAGAAAAGAAGTAGAAGCTGATGGAGATACGGGTCATGTGGCAATGCGCTACTTACACTAGCGACCCGAAGGCATGCCCTGACAAGGAGTCAAGCTTAGAATCTCTTTTCTACTTGGATCTCTCAGCGCTACAGTCTCTTTGTAGTCAAAAGGGAGGTCTGTAAGGACTTACAATGTGTACCCACACATTGTCTGTCCTTTGCATACTTCACATCAAGCGCGACTGCAGTCGCACTTCAGTAACATGTATAATATAAAGCCACATTACATCATGTAGATACATGTATATAAGATGTGCAGGTAGGAGGAAAGGCCCCTCAGCCTTTACTCCCCTGTTAACAATACAGCTCATTAAAGTGTACTTGTGTGATGGACCGGGAGTGTGAGGTGCTTATAACCACGTGCTTACACTTTTTTATGCTCGGTGAGTTAATCCAGTTAACCCTGCACTTGTTCCCGATTTGATCGACGTTGAAAAACACGTTGATCTAATCTTCACCCAAACCCTCTTCCCCAATGAGTTCTTGAGGGGCAGCTGGATCGTCTTCTTCTTGAAAGAAGATGAAGACTGTGCAGAAATCTGCGTGAGAACTCGATCCCGTTGTAGATGTTGGTGAGGCCGATGCTGCACCAATTGACCCCGATCCGATCAGGAGCCCTAATGCACCTCCAGACGAGCTAGACTCATTGGGAGTGGTGGCTGATACAGAAGCCCCAGCTGCAATCGCTGCCAATCTGGACAATGTGCCAATTGACACAGAGACTCAGTCAGTGGCGAGAGGCACCAGCCCTTCAGCACCTGTGCCCCTACTTCCAACCACAAGTGGTGAGCCGACAGGGACTAATAATCCCCCTGTTGATGAAGCAACAATGAAGGGAGACCTACCATTCTCTGTTGTTGCACCATGAGAAGATATGCTGTGGAGGGAATTCATCCAGACATTGGTGAGCTTCAAAAAAGGGCTCGAAAGTAGATTCAGCACCATTTTGGAAAGATTAGACACGCTTGAGGGACATCAGGAGCTTCGCCCTGAAGAAGTCCCCCGACCTGTTGAACCTGACGAATTGGAAGAGACCCTAAAGGTTCCTGAAGGACCTTTGGAGCCTGCATCAACTGTGCCCAGGCAAATTTTAGATCCAGCTAGGGCATCTAAACAGGCACTGCATGACCAAGGGACTTTTCCCATGGTTACAACGACTCAGAATCTGCATGACAACAACGACCTACCCAAGTTTATCCATGTCCCAGGTTCAGGGGATCCTGGAATACAGATGGCCACTATACTCCCCGACCTGGAAAGTGAGGAATCCACCTCATCACCAGTGCGGATACCTTCCCATTTGAAAGAGAAATGGGTGAACAAGGATTGTAACAAACCTGATCACTTTCTCGAGCCACGGAATCGACCTCCTGATGATGAGGCCAACAGGAGTGAGGGTCTACAAAAGACCATCATGTCATATCCATCCCCAGCCATTGACTTCCGGTCCCTCCGATCCCTCCAGTCTAACTCCGCTCCTTCCTCACTAACCTCGGAGCTCCCGTATTCCGCAATCCTCTTGGTACCCCTCGATGGTCACCACCCCCTCATTTCAATTTATTACCTACGCCTCCCTAAGTACGGAGCCCCGAAGACTTCCGGACAGCTCCAACGTCCGCTAGTGCACTCCCGCCTCCGCTGGGCAATTGTAAGGGATTAACCTTACTTCACTATAATTCCCATTATAGTGATGTGTTTATTTCTTTATTTATTTGTGCCGAGATATGTAAATTACATATATATACCTCGGAGTAGTTGTAAAGGCCTGGTAGCCTTTTACCTCTACCCCGTTGAATATACAGCACATTAAAGCTTATATTTAGACGGACTACCTGAGGCCTGAGGCGAACGGGGGAATGGAACGTACCATCCCCAAAATAGTAAGCAAACCTTTCAGCAATACACTCGCCTGCCCTGCAGAGCCCACCTTCGGGCCTATCCCTCCTTTCCGTTTCTGGGTTATCACCTGCCTTTCCGCTAACCCTGCGACCTGACTCGTCAGTAATATTCAGTCGGCTAATGTTTAACCCCGTTAGCTCCACTCCGTTCGGCTCTGCCAATTGCGGACCCGTCTTCGCTGTAACCATATATATATCCAACTTGTACATAGGTTACACTTCAGTAATAAAATCAACTAGAGTTACCCCCTTCGGTTCTGATTGCCAGTCAGTAAGTTAGGGCACGGACGTGTCACTAGGCACAGCGCTCTTGGCATAAGTCGCTGAGGCCAAAGCCCTCTGCTACAGAGACTCTCCCTCGTCTCAAATCCGGTCTCTGACACATCACTGAAATGTTGGGGCAGGTGGTGATGACAGTTGTGCAACAACTGAACGTGTCTCATTTAAACTCTCGAGAACCACCTGTGGTTTTTGTTAGTTCATCAGATTCAGGTGATGCAGATGTTGAGGCAGGATTGCCTTGTATATCTCGTCGTGGAACTGGTTCGGCCATTGTGGTCAACCAGCGAGGCGAAATCAAGAGGAAGCAAAGACATCTCTTTGCTACTCCTGCACCGAGTGAAGCATCCAAGGAATATAGGATGTGAGTGGATGATGATGTGGCATATGTCTATATGCCACATGGTCTTGAATCAGAACACCGAGGCCATGCTTGAGAACTGCAGAGTAGGTTAAATACCTATGGGCGGTTCAGGGCGCAAGTGCCTCCCAGTGGTGGCGACAACAATGTGGCCACCTTCTTTGGCCTTAATCGGTCTAGTAAACAACACAAATGAGGGCAGGAGCTGAGATGAGAAGTCTCGACTCCCCAGCCTACCATTCGCCAAATGCCGGGTCCTCAGGTTGAGGCCCTGATAGACCTAATTTCTCCTGTGAAAAGAGAGTTCAGCAACAATCTGAACCCTCTTCAGGTGATGAGCTCAACTTTTCCGAGGATGGCAAGTGCTGCCAACCTGAATGATGGGTTTGTCGAAACTACTCTTAGGTCCTATTCTAGGGACCCTAACAGTATGACCCCTGGAGACCCGGAGGGTTTCATGGGCAATCTTGTAAGAAGGGTATCGAACCTTGTAAAGGCTCGTATCCTAACACCTCTCCCAGCCGACGTAAAACCAGAGTTACTGAAAAAGAACTCTGTGCCATTTCCCACCACTCTGTGGTCTGGGGAAAACGATCTCGAAAAATTTGAGAACTGGCTGGTGGAGCTCACCTCCTGGATATCAGGAAATGGGTGGAAAGGCACAAGCTATAATGAGCTTCATATAGACGCTCTAGCTTGCACCTTAGACAGCAACCCCAAACAAATCATGCTTCATGATATGAAGCAAGGTTTTGAGGAGGGGTCGACCCCTACCTTCATTCAGCTGTTAAACAAGCTGATGTTAACATACATGAAGAGATCGGTGGCAGTTCCTGCCACCAAACTCTTCAAAACCCTTGCGTATGATTCCTCCAAAGGAATCAAGCACTTTTACACTCAACTTCTCCGAGCATCAGAGAAGATGATAACTTGCCCTGACCAGGCAAGTTTCAATGAGCGTTTCTTGAATGCTCTTCCTTTATACATGAAGGAAGAGCTAGTAATGCGCCATCGAATTTCAGTCAATTTCTTGTCCAAAGATGACCTTTGAACTGCAGTATTATGCATAGACCACATGTATAATTACATGTGCACCATCAACACATATAGGGGAGGACTGACATCCTCCAAATTTACAAATCCCTCAAAAATGAAATCGAGTGGCTCTCACAGTGCTGCCCCTCCAATGAAAGGGGTGGCAAGCTCCGCTTCAAAGGTAACTATGACACGTAGTTTCCCTCCATCTGTAGCCTATAGTGCTAAGAAAACACAGGTGGCGACGAAACCCTTAGTGGCTTAGTCATCAAGAACTCAGACTGAGGCACCTACTGAGGTGCCTCCTCCAAATAATAATCGGTATGCTTCAAATACCGGATCTTCCAGTTATGGACGTCATCCCTCAAAGGGTGCAAAGGGTAACCCACTTTGCTACAAATGTGGCAAAATTGGGTACTCGTTCCAATGCCCAAATCATCCACCCAGGGCCAAACTTTTCACTCTGGGGATTGATGAGGATGTGAATGACGACACCCCAGCAACAGACACTGGGGTGGAAGAAGAAGAGCCATCTGGGGAGTCCCCAGATGACCCAGCAGCTGCTGTCGATGAAGGGGACGACCGCCTTGTCGACAATCCATATGAACACCCTGATCCTCAGGATGAGTTGGAAAGTGAGCCTGAAGGCGAGGTTGCCTTTGGGCATGTGGGTCTATGAGGGATGACATTCGTGGACCCATCCGAGGATAATTACATCCTCAAACTTGCTTTGGCTCGAAGGGCAGAGAAACTCCTGAGTGAAGAACAAATCTATGCTGAATTGGTCAACAAACCCGTTCATCGATTCAAGACTGAGGGCCAGTTACCCTCTTGCAGGCAGGAAACTGAAACGGTTCCTGCTAAAATTTCAAAGAAAAACCTGCCCATGTTTGATGCAAAGTTTTGACTATCGCAAGAGGTGGGTAAATACCCTATGGATCAGAGTGCGGACTTGCACCACACTCTGACTGGTCTCGTTGAAATCAACGGGACCAGAGCATTCACCCTGTTTGATAGTGGAGCAGAGACGGATGCACTGTCCCCTGACTTTGTCAGGGCATGCCACATCCCTCTGCTAGAGCTACCAAACCCTTTGGTACTCCAAATGGGAGTCGTTCCTGCGTTTACTATGGAATGAATGTTGACCTGAAGATATTAGGTCAGAATAAGAAGCACTATTGCGATGTTGTGAATATTGAAAGGTATGACGCTATATTAGGCACTCCATGGTTGAACACGAATAAGGTGATTCTTGACTTTGGCAAGCACATCATCCACGTTCACAGAGGCCAACTCCTTTCATTTGACGTTCCTTTATCTTGACTGGGCACCAGGCCCACCGACACAATTCAAGCCTAGTTAAGAAGGCTTCACCCTCAAATAATCAGGCATCCAAATTGCCAAGCACACAGCAATTGTGACTTGGTAAGGTGAAGCCAACTTCACTGCCCGATCACCCCTCTAGGGAGGAGCCCAACCCTTGTAGTATAGCCACTATGAGGGGATCTTCTTACATGTCATCTGTACAGGATGCCATGCGTAATTTTCTAGAACACTGGCCTGACCCAAAGTCAGGTCAGTTACCTGATTGTTCTCATCTGGAACATCGCCCAATGATGGACGATGGTTTCATTCCCTCTGCAATTGGTGGAGGGCGCGTTTTGAAGACATCATGGTGCCCGCACCTGAGGTCTTGCCTCCTTTCCATGAAGTTAACCATAGGATCAATCTTATCGATCCCATGAAGCAGTACAATGAGCGGCGTGCTACATGTCCTCAGGCTCTCGAGCAACAGCTACAAGAGAAGGCTCTTTGTTACGAGCGTGCTGGGTGGTGGGTTAGACATCCTGCTGCCATGGCATGTCTGTTGCTCTGCCTTGCAAAAAAGGATGGCTCTCTTAGAACTGTCATAGACACAAGGAATCGTAATGTAAATACGATCCTCAACATCACACCGATGCCAGACATGAGATCCATAATGGACAGTCTGGCAAGGAACTCATATTGATCGAAAATCGATATGACCAATGCATATGAGTGTCATATCCCAGATCTTCCACCTCCCTCCGCTCTATCCATACACGACTCCTATGACCTCCACCAGCCCTCCCAATCTCTCTCCACTACCTCCGGTCGATGCCAACAAACCTAGGACTACCTCCTCCTCCGACTCTCTCCTGCTCTGCCACCCACCTACATCCACATCACCTCCGGACCTCCACTTAACCTCCTCGGACACCTTGTTCAAAGGAGTTGGGTTTGCTCGTTGTTGATAAAGTCTCAACTTGCTTATCTACCCTCCTTTCAACCTCCGGTCTCCACACCTCCGGTACTTCCGGTACCTCCTCACTTCCGGTACCTCCTCCCTTCCGGTACCTCCTTACCTCCGGTACCTCCTCATTCCTATATTATCTCCGGTCTCGATAATCTTATTGTTTTATCATTTGATATTTTCTATAACCCCAATCTTCTGGACTACAACTTCCGGGCTCTGGACCTTTCCAGACACCTCTTCTCTGTAGTTCCCTGCTTGTTCATAGATGCTTCCAGACCTTGCCATTCAGTTGGCTTTTATTTCTCTCACTCCACAAAACCTCAGACGTAATTCAGGCTTCTCGCCTATTCCTATTTGTTTTGTGGACTTCTTTCTATTTACTTCCCCTTCCCCTTGGTAACCTTTATTTACCTTCAGATCCAATTGTTTCCGCTATATGTACATGTGTACCCCTCTAGTAAATAGTTCCCCCAGTTATAATATAAACAGTCTTCAGCCCTCCAAAACCTCTTCCAGGACATCTATTGCATCCCACTTGTCTGCTGCTCCTAAGAACTGAGTAACAGACACTCCCAGAGATGCCTTGGTATAACACCCAACGAATTGTGTGACGAACAATTGACCCTCGCTAACGCCTCCTCTGTTAAGTAGTGAGGGGGGGGCCTCCGGCCCCCTTCTGCTGGGGGCCTCGGTTCCTCCATCGCCAGCTCCCCTGACAAATGGAGACAACGAGAACGTACCAGGTGCAGCGCTCCATTCCGAGTTGCTGAAGCCAAGTCCCTTCAACACCCCATCACCCTCGGAGCTCCACC